TTAAATTTCAACTCTCACCTTGGGTCAGTACCTAAATTCTGGTTACCTCCTTTCGAGGTCAGTACCTAAATTTTGACTCTTCTTTTTGGGATTGATACCCAAATTTCAATTCCCATCTTGGGGTCAGCACCTACACACTGACTCCCATCCTCTATAAACACCTGAAACTTGATAATTTGAAACCCACTCTCTAATCCCCAGTGAGAGTTTCTACCTTCTGATTTTAATCAAATATTTACTTGCTAATTCCCTAGTGGAAACAACTAACACTCAAATTCTATGCTCCTTTCTAGATTTTTTGTCTTAAGAATCTGAGTTGGTTTTGTTGATCTCGTCGGTCAACACCATTACGCGCGGTGTGCTTGACCGACACGCCACATCTATTGGGGGTCCGTTTGTTGACCTCATTTTTTGTTGAGGTTTAGTTCTTCTTCTTTTGTTGCCTAAGGTCTAGCCATTGGACTTTACTGTTGACTATTCTTAGAAAAACATGAGATGAATCTAACAAGTCTAATATCACTCAATTTTGACACCATTAAGTCACTCAGATGTCCATAATATATCATACAATCAACTGAATTACTCTGAGCTTTCCAATGAAGTACTCTGGATTCTTGCATTTTGGAAGATACACTTCCAAAATCTATAAATAGAGCTCTAATGTTTTCATAAAAAGGGAGAAGAATGTGACCAAGAGTTCGATGCAAAGGACAAGAGAAGGAGTCAAATTCTATCTTTGGACATAAGAGCTGCTGCTATACTTTTTTTTTTTTGCATGATTTTTATTTTTGAAGTTCTAGTTGCTTTGGGGGGGAGGGGGTAGTATTGGAGTGTCATTTTTTACTTATCTTTTCTGGTTTTACTTGATGGTTTCATGGGCTGTGCCTTTTTCAAGCTTTGAACACACTTACTGTTAATTTCATAAGATTGGGGTTCCTTGATTTGTTGGGTCACTTACCCCTATGCCACCTGCTTTAATTTTTTCTGGTTTTGAGCTATGATTTATGATGTATCCTATACAATGCTGAGCACTGGAAGCCAGTTATTTTCTTATGATGTTGGGCTTGCTTGTGATGGTTGGTTTAGTAGTTGTTACAGCTTTATTGCAATTCGGGAGACACTGCCTGCTAGTACTACTTTCATCCGATGCTATTACATGACTGGAAGGTTCATCATGCTGTTATGCTTTTTTTGTGTTGTTTTCTTTATTGGTATTGATTTTCTGTATGTGGGGGCTTTTCTCTGGTTTCTTGGACACTTTTCTTGTGACTTTCCTCTTGTTTTCAATGTTAATTTCTACTTTGGTTGTTTTCTAGAGCATCCTTACCATTTTAGCAAGTATAATTCCCACCTCTTGAAGCTCCACCTAATAGAGTTTCCTTCCTTTGACCTTAGAGCTACCGAGGTCCCTCCGAACGACGCACTTGACGGATTGTTGACCTGGGATCTTTGGACGTTTTGGGTTGACTACCTTCACGACTAGATAGACTTAGGGTCCTAGTGGCTTGGGAAGATGGGTTTGTGGTACCCTGACTTGGCTACCTCTACCTTATAGAGACTACTCCTCCCTTCCTTTAACTACCCATATTGAGCCCTGTCACTCTTGTTGCCTTCATTGGTATCATCTCGACGACCTAATTATCGATTAGTTGTTTCCCGTTTGGGATACGATGATTTATCTTCCGCCTTTATGACCTGAATGTCCTTTGACATCAGGATTCCTCGTCAAGATGATTTGGTTATTTCACAGGCTTCGTATGTTGATGAGTCCGTTATCCGCTTGAGGATCGTGAGAGACTCACTCTCCACCTTGTGGCTTAATAGAAGCTTTGAAAGCATAGGAGCATTCCCTTATGAGATAACCATACTTTGATAGCCTTGTGCTAGTCGTCACTACTAATGTAAGCAAACTCCTTTGAATCAAGTGTATTTTTGGGCAACCCCAACATGTAATTAACTAAGTGGGATACGTCCTATTGGGAGCACTCTTGACCCCATAATAGGTAAACACACCTGGATCTCTGGTTGTGGGTAGTTTACTTAAGTATTCTTTTGCAGATATTGGTCCAAGGTGCTTCCACTCAATCTTGTTTGGGCGGACATACTTAACACATCCTTGTAAAGTTTATCACATATAGACTCTCCACATTCTTTCTCTTAATTTTCATCTTTATTGTATGCCCATCTTTTACGATTCCTCTCTTCTCCTGATCATTCATATGATCTGGAAGAGAAACTTATTCAAAAAATGGAAGTATACGACAATAGACAAAAAAAAAAAAAAAAAAAAAAAGAATGAAAAAAGAGAATGACAAAAAGATAAAACACACAACAAATATTATGCAGCAAAAAGAAAAGAAGCAATTGCACAATTAAACAAATATTAAACAAAATGCTTTTAATTTTTTGTAAACAAAAATAGAGCAATAAAAATACAAGGAATAAGAAACAATAAAATTTTCAAGTCAAAGACCTTCAAGTTCAACTAAAATTTTCCTAAATCAAATTCATTGTCGTTCTCCTGCAACGATGCCAAAAACTAGGTAGGCACGAAGTGTTGCAAAGCACGGGCTGCTCATAAAATATATGCGGCGTATTAATAGTACAGGGTTTGAGTCTGGTTGTCGATCTCACAAGGAATGAGGAAAACTCAACAAAGGAAAAGTTCTGGCCTACTGCTATCAGTTCAAGCCTAAAGTGTTTGATTAGCAAGTCCAATTCTAAACCTATATAAAAATTGTGATAAGCACGTCTATTCTAACAACAAAAAAGATTCTTATATGTAATCAGGTGTTGAGATTTTTTCCTCTTTAATGGATCAAGTGATGAAAAGAACTAAGAATTAGATTAAAAAATAGTATCAATCAGGAGAAAAATTATTCATTATCCCCTTCTGGTGGTTTGAGAAAGATTAGCAGTCTAAAGCTTAATTCCCTAAAACTCTCATCTGCTCAAAGGAAAATTACTACTAGAAGATTGCATAAATCATTAACAATATCTCTATTCTAATGAGTTAATGTTGTTAACTCTTTTGTTCCTTAAAGAATCCTTGTGAATATCAATATTCACAAAAGGTTTTAACATTCAACTAACCAAGTAGAAAGGAAGCTAAGTTCTCAAGTTAACACAATAATTTTAAATTCAAATCAAAGCCCAAACAATCTCAAATCCTTTGTTTTAATCCATTCACCATCTCAATTGAATAGGGAAACAAGAAGACTATTCACTATGCTTGACAAATCTCATCAAAGAAAACTTAGTTTTACGCATAAACATCAAAATGCAAGTCCTTACGAACAAATGTTGAAGAAAATACAATGTAAACACACTTATCTTCTTTACAAACAAGTAGATGAGGATGTCGCTAACAGTGAACAATCAACTCTCTCAATCCTCATAATTTCTCTCTTTATCTCTTCTAATCTCTTTGCAGAAGCTTTGGCTTTCTCCTCCATATCAACTCTCAGAATGACAAAAGAAAAATGAAGAAAAAACCCTCTTTAATTTGTCTCCATCCTTTTTATAAGTTGCCTAAGTAAGCAGGTGTATCCGTCTATTAGAACTATCAAAACCGTTTCTAGCGTATAAGCGCCCAGTGGTTGGGACCTAGGCGCCACTCCATTAGATTTCTACACGCTAAGACTGGCGCCTAGGCAATGGTGGGGCAACGCCTAGGCGCTCAATGACTCGCGCCACCTTTTTGATCTCTCAGGAAATTGCTCCATATGGGAAGGAAATGGAGCCTAGGTCCAGTGGCCAGCTTTGCTTTGTTTTGATCCCGTTCATTCCCTTTCCTGCTATAACCCACAAACAACATAAAACCTTCCTCAAATTCTCAAAGTGCAATACTTTCACATAAAATGTAAAAATACAAGTAACATCAAGTGCAAAATTATCAACATATCAATATAGTGCCAAAGTTCTAGTTAGAAGTTTTTTGCGCAATTTTTTGTGTAGTATATTTATAAGCTCTCTTGGAAAATGTGGGGAGAGGGTTAGTACCAATTGTCATGTTCTATTTTGTTGTTTTTTTTTATTTGACCTATGATTGTGCTCGTGTTTAAGAAGTAAAATAAGTTTGGTTGTTTATGTATATTTTAGTATAATTATTGAGTGTTAGCATTTAAGTGTTGTGTATAAAGAAGAGAGCATAACCTATATTTGGGAAACATTCGGAAGAACAGTTTTTGAATGAGTTCAAATGACATATTTTATTTAAATTCCTAATGAATTATTTTGAAACAAGTAGACTTATATTTTTATTAGAATATAAAAAATAATAAATAAAAAATAAAGAGGAATATATATGTTAATAAATTAAGCATTCATATGATGTACCATCCCATAATTGATTGTAAGTGAACTCAATTTTTGTGTGATTAAATTGTAGAATTTCTCATTTAATGGTTATTACAATATTATTTTTTGATGAATTAAGCATATGAAGTTGAACGTATTACAAAATACGTTAGAAGTGTTTCAGATGTAGTTGATTGTTTTTTTTCTTTTGGTTCTTTTTAGATCTCGGAGTCGCCAGCTTGCCTTTTTATATGTCGTCGTATAATTTCCCTATTCGAGTAAATCTCTCTCTTGAACCAAATGGATGATTTGAAGAAGAGAGGAATCGAATAGTGAACTAACGTACTACAACAAATAGGCAAACAAATCAAAAAAAAAAGAAAAAGAGACGGAAGGTTTATATAAAGATAATTCTCGTGTGATGGATCGAGAGTATACATCCAAACCAAATCGGATTGAAGTACCTCGGAAAAAGAAAATAACATCCACGAGTAAAATCTTTATATGAACTACCTGTAACCAGAGAACCAAAAAGAACATTTTTTGTTCAGGGGTCAAAAGTCTCCCGGAGGAACGTATTCCTACTGGTTAATTACTTCTCGGGGGATACCCAAGAAGACTCTCGATGTAAGGAGTTTCGCTTTATCATTATGAACATGGGTATAGGTTATCAAAAAGTGATTATTTCGTATGGAGTAGTCTCAAACAATTAAGCTAAAAAGTAAGTTCTCCAACAGCGCTACGAAGAGTTCCACGATAAAAATATGCAGAATTACCTCTAGAAACGCCTTTAGAAGCCATAAGAACGCTAACATCAACACCCCATTCACTGTAAATCGCACCTATTCCGAATCACAACCGACCAAATCAGGGAAACCATAAATAACTCTCCTTGAAATAATAATAATTAAAAAAAAGACACATCTTTGCAAAAATAATGAAGAAAACAAGGGGTGTCCAAGCGAGTCGAACCAATTTGGTGGAAATTGAAGGGGGTAAGACTGATCGAACAGTCCTTCGAGCTCGCCGGGAGATTTTCCGGAACATGTTCTGCAACAATCGGGCGAAAAGGTCCAAGCTCCTGTCATCCTCTTCCTCCTCTTCATCATCGTCTTCGTCAAGCTCACCACCGAGGTCCGCAGCGCCGAAATCGCCTACCCAAGCGCGAGGGTCCGGCACAACTGCCACTGCTTCCTGGACAGCAATCGAATTTTTTTCAATTCCATGAACTTATAGCTGGAGAATTTCATGAAAACAGTGGAGAGCGAGGGAAAAGGAGGTACCTTGGAGTAGTTAGGGTATCCTCTGGAAGCTCGACGAGACAATGGGAATCGAGAAGGGTTTGGTATTGGAAGGAAAGAGAGGAGAAGATGGTGCTCTTTAAGGGGTTTAGGGTTTTGCGATCGGACCCTCGAAGGGGACAGAAAGAAAGATGAACTGGAGGAAGCCATGGAAGAGAAACTAGAACTAGGGGTGGGGGCTGTCAACTTTATCCAAGCAATTGGGTTGTTTGACTTGAGAAGGATTTAACCCTGATTGGATTTAGTAATCCTCTAAATTTGAATTTTGCAAAATTATGTGCTAATTAAAATTTAAAAGTTATTTCGCATGAGAGGGAATAAATTGAATTAATTGATTTTTGGATAAAGTTATTTATTATATATTGTAAGATTTAAGGAAATTAGCTCCATTGTAAGATTTAGGAAGAATACCTTGCAATGAAATTAGAACAGTTTATAAAACCTTAGCTAATGATAATCATTAACAGGCAGCAGAACAACGATAGCTAATTGATCATGATGATGAATGTTTTTTTGTCTCATTGCGAGTGATTAAGGGCCCATTTTGGGCGGCTTATAAGTGCGGAAAGACATTTTGAAAACGCCGTCTCAACGTTTGGAAAATAAGTTTCTGCAGCTTATCTAAAAATACGGTTGAGTTTGTACACTAAACGGAGGCCGCGGGTTGAATCCTGCATGCCCTGCATGCCACCGGCGAGCCGCGTTTCAGGATAAGTTATTTATCCGGATGAGCACAAGCAGCCCCAAACAGACCCTAAATTAATGCGTCAAAAAATAACCAATTAAAACTAAATAATATTTTATTTCACTAGAAATTTTTACTCTTGGATTGCATGTTTTTTAGGATCTTCAACTTTTGACTTCTACCTCATCCAATTTAATATGGCATGCAATCTCAATCTGAGGTATGTTGAAATATATAATTTAGGTCATATCAATCTATAAAATTGTGCGACGCTGCATATATTTGTCTATATAATCAGAGAAAATTATTGTATGTGAATTAGCACTTGATTTATCTTTATCCTCCACTATATCACATATTCGGTGCTGATGAAAATCATGGAAGTACTGATTGATACTTTGATAGTACAATCAAAGTGACTGTTTTGACATGGCGACCCTAATGACCCTAAAATTGATTTTGTTTGAGTCCGATCAAGCCCAAATTAAATCGTTGAAATGTAATTATAGAATTTGGACGGACAATTGAATGGATAAATATGCGTACGTAAGTAAAGTTGCGTACATATTAGATTATTCGGATGATACATGTAATTTATTCAGAGATTATAGGAAGAATTACAAAAGGTATAACCTAAGTGTAACATATTTATAACATACTATAGCGGCAGCGGCCCGAAAAGAGGGTATGCCGGTAATGCAGTGACTAATGCAGTGACTCGAAGGCAGGCATGCCGTAGCGGCAGGGGCCCGAAAGGAGTGTATACCGACGAAGCAGTGACCCAGAAAATGCAATTCAAATATCATAAAATATTATCCAATCAAAGGGATTATTCTTGGCGTCCGATGAAGTGGATTGGATTTATGCATATTTATAGAAGATTTCACTCACAAAATTTATAAATAAACTCCAATTCCCTTCAAGAAAGGAGACATGGAACCCATACTTCAATGAGAAAGCTGAAGGAGCTCCGAGCTCTTGAGAGTTCCTGAGCTCCATCCCTGTCTGGTCGTTTCTAACTAACCACTACCACCGTCGGACCACTATCGACACTGCCTGAGACTGCCGCCGAGTTGTCGTCACCGTCGGAACAAAACTTCCTGGCCACTATAGTGTTGTATCCACTGAATCAAGGGAGCCAATTGAAATAAAATGAAATGCTCATCGGGCCAGGGTGACCGGACAAAGTGAAGTAACATGCTCGTCGGGGCAGGGTGGCAGGACGAGGTGAAGTGTAGTGCTTTTCGGGCTGGGGCGGCTAGACATAGCGAAGTGAGATTCGTCGGTTCGTGGTGGCCAATCGGAGCGAAGTGAGGTGCTCGTCGGGCCGGGGCGGCCGAACGAAGCAAAGTGAAAGGCTCGTCGGGCCGGGGCGACCGAACGAAGCAAAGTGAAAGGCTAGTCGGGCCGGGGCGACCGCCGAGCTGTCGCTACCGCCAGACCACCGTTGCTTGGCCACCGCTATTTGTTAGTCTCCATCGCCGAACCACTGTCTTCGCTGCCCGACCATCGTCTGGAGATGGCCGCCGATAACTTCCGACCTTATAGTCGCCGAATATTGTTGACCACTACTACCACTGTCGACTGCTTATGCTCGCCATCGCTAGAAAATTTTATAATGTAACGACATCCCGAATACGATGTAATAACATATCTCGAATACAACGTAACGATGTATCTTGAATACAACATAACGACGTATCACAGATACGGTGTAACAAATAGTACTGCAGCGAAGATCTGGCAAAAAACAACGACAACTGCTTACAACTACCATATTAAAAATATGACAACTTTCTCGAGAATTTTAAAATATTTGATACGTTTTATATGGATAAATGTTATATTTAGTATGAAGTTATAACCTTGCTCTCTCAGTTGTGAGAAAAGAGTATATTCTTTATAATTACATATGTATCCTTATAAATTTAGTGTAATTTAAGTCCCAAGATTTTTTTCATTTTTGAATTTTTTTCATAAAATCTTGATGACTCTTCCTATTACTTTATTTTACGTGCTGGAACAACGTACAACGCTAAGATGTCATATTATGCTCTACAGTCGCAAGAAAACTATAATTTTATTCTTCTAAGTGATAAGATCTCAGCTTTAAGAATGATTTGTAAGAGAAAAGAATCTTGTACCACCGTATATAACATGAAAATTTTATCCTTAAATTCACCACCGATATATATATATATATATGGACAGACGCTGAATATAAATAGGGAGGCTCATATACAATATATATGGACAGACGCTGAATCGAAGCGGAGTGAAAGAATCTGTCTAAATCGGGAAGTTACATCGGTTGAGGGTGCGGGGGCAAAACTCCGCGATACAGTACATGGGTAATGTTGTAATTACATATTGTACTTAGGGTTTAGTCCTGAGAGTATAAATAGACATGTTAGTAACCTCAAGAGGTATCTTCTATCATGTAACCCTTTTTTGAATAGTGAAAGGAATCGTCGCTCTGCTCCCGATGACGTAGGCATCTTTGTCGAACCTCGTTAAATTTCTCTGTGTTCTTCCGAATTGGTGTCGTTCTTATTTTTTATTCGCCCTAATTTCTCAATAAGTGGTATCAGAGACAGGTTCGAAAGAAAAATTTTGACGATGCAAGAAGTACGAAGAACGATTCTGTGATTTGTGTCCGGCTAGGGTTCAGATGCAGGAAGAGCAGCGGCGCGGGCTTCTTTAGAGGAACAGCCGCCGCGATCAGGCGGCACACTACTGGGCGAAGGTTCGTGGCAAGCCGGAGGGTTTCACGTTCGGCCCACGACAGGCGAGAGGAATTGCGGCACTTCAGTTTGAGCAGTTTGAGCGAAGGATCGTGATACAATAGTTCGCGCAAAGAAGGATTTCCCGACAGTAAGAAAGCGGAGAGAAATTGGAAGGAAGGAATTTATATTCCCTTGGACTTCTTTCTGTTGGCTACTGCTGCGTTCCGATTTCAGTGGAAAATTTCCAAATTTGCTTTGCTGAGAAGATAATTGGAAGTAGCGATTTCCTTGGAAGGCTGCGAGAAGAGGCGGCTGCATGAAGGAAAAATCAGAGGAATTTCAATTATCTTTGGAGGTGATTTTTGAAAGGAAGACTATTTCTGAATTTCCTTTATAGGAAGAGGGAGATCCGTCACGGAATTTGTTGTTCTGCTGGCCGCAAATTTTGTGCAGGAAATAGAAGTATTTGGCGGAAGATTGCGGAAGATTAATTTCCTTTGCTGGAGGTGTCCGAGGAAAAGAATATTCATAGTGCAACACGGAAAAGTCAAGGAATAGGCGAAAGATCTTGAAGGAATTTTCAGAAAAATGTTCGCGACAGGAGTAATTTTCAGATGACATTTTTTGGTGCAAAATTTGAGGTGGTGATAATTTCAGATTGTGACAAACAAGAGTAAAAGATTTGTTGGCTCAACAAGGAATCTTGAAAGCTTTGCGGGCAGCAAAACCAGATGTCATGGAGGATGAAGATTGAAAAGAATTGCAACAGTGAGCGACGACAACTATACGCCTATGTCTGACAGATGAAGTTATGCATCATGTGATGAATTTGAAATCTCCAGGGGAGATATGAAAGAAATTAGAAAACCAGTTTGCGTCCAAATTTCTGACGAATAAGTTGTATCTGAAGCAAAAGTTGTATGGGCTGAAGATGCAAGAAGAAGAATATTCTGATCTGGCTAAGCACCTGAATGGCTTCAATCAAATAATCATGAATTTATCACGGCTTGATGTGAATATTGAGGATGAAAATAGAGCAATGATTTTGTCGTGTTCATTGCCTTCTTCTTATGTACACCTAGTGACTACTCTGACATATGGGAAATAGACTATCAAAATTGATGATATTACTGCAGCATTGTTGGCTCACAACCAGCGGAAGCAGAATGCAGGGGAAAACTCTCACGACGATAATTTATATGTTAAGGGTAAGCAGAATCGTGGAAGGAAGAAAGAGAAAGAGGGTTTTGGAAGGCGAAATTCCAGATCAAAGTCTAGAGGCAAAAAGACAATTCATTGCTACAGGTGCAAGGAGCTAGATCATATGAAGAGCGATTGTTCAAAGCTCAAGAAGCAGACTGAAGAGAAATGTGATACATCATCGAAGTCTGTAAATATGGTGCAGAGTGGCAATTCAGATTAGTGATGACGATTTGCTTTCAGTTTCATTAACTCAGTTCACGGATGCATGGATTCTTGATTCAAAATGCTCTTATCACATGACACCTAACAGAGAGTGATTTACTTCATACAGGTCAACTAGTTCTGGCTCAATTTTTCTAGGTGATGATAAATGTTGTAATATTGTTGGTATTGGAGAAATCAGAATTAAGATGTATGATGACACAATTAGAACGTTATGTGATGTCAGACACATTCAATATCTGAAGAAGAACTTAATTTCCTTGGACACTCTTCACAGAAATTGTTTTATTTCTAAGGCTGATAAGGATAGGGAAACCATCAGAATTGTTAAGGGTGCGCTGACAGTGATGAAATGAAAGTTAACTGCAGGCAATATCTACAAACTGTTGGGGAGTACAGTTGTAGGTGGAGTTCATTCTGTCGAGTCAGATGATGATAGTACAAAGTTATGACATATGCGTCTGGGTCATCTCAGTGAACGTGGGATGACATAATTGCATAGAAGAAACATGTTGCATAGTGTTAAAAACTACAAGCTCGATCTTTGTAAGTTCTGTGTTCTTGGAAAACAAACTAGAGTCAGTTTTACGACTGGAAAACATAAAACTGAAGGGATTCTTGATTATGTGCATTCTGATGTATGGGGCCCCTACTAGGGAGTTGTCATTGGAATGATCTCAGTATTTTGTTACCTTTATTGATGATTTCTCCATGATAGTTTGGGTGTATTTCTTGAAGCAGAAATCTGAAGTCTTCTCTAAATTCAAGCTGTGGAAAGCTGAGGTGGAGAACCAAACTGGTAGAAAGATCAAGTATTTGAGATCCAATAATGACACAAAATAGACAGATTCGCAGTTTCATAAGTTCTATGTGGAGCATGAGATTCAAAGACATTTTTCAATGCGCAAGACACCACAGCAAAATGGTGTGGCATAAATGATGAACATGCCCTTAACTGAAAGGGCAAGGTGTTTGAGACTAAACACAGAGCTTCCTAAGAGTTTCTGGGCAGAGGCTGTGAATATGACATGCTATCTCATCAATAGATCACCTCGAGCATCATTGGGTGTCAATGTCGCAGAAGAGGCATGGACAGGTAATCCAGTTAATTTCGATCATTTACAAATTTTTGGTTGTCCTACTTATGTGCATGTACCTGGAGATGAAAGATCAAAACTTGATGCAAAATCCAAGAAGTGCATCTTTCTGGGCTCAAGAAAGGTGTGAAATGATACAAGTTTTGAGATCCGATTGCAAAGAAGATGGTGATCAACAAAGATACAGTTTTTGATATTACAACTGAATCAAGACAATGTGTCAGGGAACAGTTCCAGTTCAGATGCATTGCAGATGAATTTAGAACAACAGCCAGTAGCTTCTGAGAGATGTGAAAGTTTAAATCCAATACCTGGTGATTTTATTCCAGATGATCTGCAGAATTATAATATAGCTAAAGATAGACAGAGACACACCAATATAAGACCTCATAGCAGATTGGGTTATGAAGACTTAATCTTATATGCACTTCTCATCAGCAACGATGATCCAACAACTTTTCAAGGAGCTATCACTAACCAGGAGAAAGAGAAATGAATGTGTGCAATGGTTGAGGAGATGGAGTCTTTGTAGAAAAATTGCACATGGGAACTAGTTCAGCTTCTAGAGGAAAAGAAGGATATTGGCTGCAAATGAGTCTACAAAAGAAAACCAACAGTATAAAAAAAAGAATGAAAAAAGTTCAAGGTTCGACTAGTTGCAAAGGGATTTTCACAACAGAAGCGGATAGATTATGATGAAATTTTTTTCTCCTGTGGTCAGACATACTTCAATCAGGGCAGTGCTTGCATTAGTAGCTATTTGGGATTTACGTTTGGAGCAGATGAATGTTAAAACTGCTTTCTTGCATGGTCATCTGGAGGAGCAGATTTATATGGAGCAGCCAAAATGGTTCACTAAACATGGACATGAGCATCTGGTTTGCAGGTTAAAGAAATCGATGTATGGGTTGAAACAGTCCCCAAGATAATAGTACAAACGGTTTGACTCCTACATGATTTAGATTGGCTACAAGATATGTGAGTATGATTGCTGTGTTTATGTGAAGAGCCTTGATGATCGTTCTATTATTTTTCTGTTACTGTATGTTGATGATATACTGATTGCTATAAAAGATATGAATGATGTCCGTGATTTGAAAGCTTTATTGAGCCAGGAATTTGACATGAAAGTCTTGGGTCCTACGAAGAAGATTCTTGAAATGAAGATTCATCGAGACAGAGGCTCAAGACGATTATGTTTATCTCAACATTTATATGTTGAGAAATTGTTGAAAATGTTTGTAAGAAAGTGCTGGAAAGGTTTGAGATGAGCAAAACAAAGCCTGTAAGCACTCCTTTGGCAAATTATTTTAAGTTACAGATTCTGTTGGAGAAGAGAGAATCCAGCCGTCGAATGTTGTCGAAGAAGGAACCCCTGTTGAAGGAGATGAAGTTGAACGGTCTGTTGCCAGCTTAATACAGAGGGTTAAGGGTAGACGGAGCAGAAGAAAGAAGACAGTGAGTTCACCTTTCACTGCCTTTGAACTGAAGAGACGAAAAACAACTGGTGAAGTCGTACTGTAGGACATACAATTATTTTTGGCAGTCAGCAGAATGATCCTTCAGTTGTGGGGTACGTTGATTCAGACTATGCAGGTGATTTGGATGGCAGAAGGTCTACAACTAGGCATGTGTTTACTCTTGATACGAACCTTAACGTAGAGGGACAACACAGAGTTGAGGATGAAGCTGTAGAAGGATCACCTGTCCTAGCAGTAACAACTCAAGGAGATGTAGCAGATGTTGTTAATGTGTTATTTGGAATTTGTTTTTTGATACATTGTCTTATATCATCTAAATTACTTGTGTATTTCAAATGAGCATGTGATGTGACATACTAGTTGCATTGTGATAATCAGAGTGCTATTTATCTGACTAAGAACCAGGAAACCAGGTGTACCATGCGAGAACCAAATATATTGATGTCAGGTATCACTAGATCAGAGAATTGATTGCTTATGGTGAGATACTATTGCAGAACATTGTGCAATGGCATGATTGCAAATGACCATGTCGACGCTCAAGCGATGATTTTGAACAATAAGAGGAATGCAAATTCATCTCTTTTTGTTTGCAGTTGCTAGAGAAGCATGGCGGCCCAACCCACATTGATACAGGTGTAACTCCCTGGTATATTTTTTCCTAAGAGGCTGTATATTCGTCAATGTGGAGATTTGTTATGATATGACTCATATACCATATAGGGACAGACGCTGGATCGAAGCAGAGCGAAGCAGAGAGAAAGAATCTGTTCAAATCAAAAAGTTATGTAAGTTAGGGGTGCGGGGGCAAATCTCCACGATACAGTACATGAATAATGTTGTAATTACATATTATACTTAAGGTTTACTCCTGAGGTTATAAATGAGCATGTTAGTAACCTCAAGAAATATCCTCTATTCTGTAACCCTTTTCTGAATAGTGAAAGGAATCGCCGCTCTCTCCCGTTTTTACTTGATAACTATTTCTGCCAGTATTTATGAACCAAAGAACTCCCATCTGAAAGCCAGAGTTATACTGAAGCCCTGTTCTTCAAGATCAATGTAATATCATGCTCATAAGTTCCTAGTCTGCAAGTCTGTAACTATAAACCAATAATAAATAGCTTAAAAATGTAAAAATAGATCCCAAAAAAGAAATAAACTCCATACAAAAATAAATTTCTTTTGTTCTATCTCGATACAACCAGCAAACTTTCACTCGATACAACCAGCAGTTAATGCACTCAATAGTAGCTATTTATCACATAATAATAAAAAAAAATAAAATAATAAAAAACCAGTAGAAACAGTAATATATTGAACCAATCAGGAAGAATATGTGGCTACAAATGATCAGCATGCATCACCTTGTGGTTTCTTCATCTAAAATTTGAAGAAATTGTTAAAACCGTGTGCTATACAACACTTATTTTCCCTTGATTCATTCAAAAACCAGAGGAGAGTTATTTCCATTTTATACTCTTATCCAGTTATAATTTCAACGGAAGCCTTCTTTTTCATAGAACCTGCACTGATAAATGATTGATCACAAAAACGAAACAAGAGATCTCCATTTCTGAAACACCGGCTCTTTTCTCTTAACTTGTCTAAGGAGAAAATAGTTTCTAAAGAACCTTTGGATCCCTTCCATGAATTCCGGAGTTACTGACAGGTTGTGGAGGGGGGATGAAAGTCATCTGAATTGCATTTTGGAGCTCCTCATCCCATATTTGTTCTATCTGAATATCAAATATTTATAAAAATAAAGAAGAGATAAATGCAGTTAGTGTTTTTAAGTTTACCTGTGCAATGGAGGAAAGCTGAGATATGGTAGCAGCCACAAGCATTTCTGAAGGAATTTGTATTGCTCCAGGATAATTAGTATATGGAGTGCTAAAAGCTGGACTGAGACCTAGGAATGAAGGATTTCCATGTCGCGCCTAAGAAGAAGAATCATTAAAAGGATGAAGTTTTTTGGCATTAATGATAATAAAATTTTAGTTTTTTCTTCAAGGCCCAAGCCATCCGACTTACAGTTTTTGAAAAATTCTGCTCAATATCAAAGTTTTCTGGGTTAACAGCTGTAAGCTTCATTGACAAGAACTGCAATTAAGGATGAATTTCATTGTAAAAATCTTAGTAAAGATGAAGGGAAAAAACATTAATAAAGGAATAGAAAAAGTAATTATAAAACTTCAGTAAAATGCTTATTGCAAAATGACCACCACCAAGTTCAAAAGAAGTTCTGTAATAAGAAATTATATATTTCATGAATTGTAATGTTTGAAAATATTGTCATTTAAAGAGCCCACCTCAACTTGTTGCTGCAATGACTGCACGTAATTGATAATCTCATCAAGCATCACTGCTTTGCCAGTAATCTAAGATATGATAGAAGAAGAAAAATCACAAAAACCAGCTAAAAAAAAATCCAAAATATCCAAATTTGATAACAAGGTCTACTTGAAACAAAGCCGGTGTAAATGACCTTATTGCATCCTGGAACTAGATCTTGAAGAATCCTCATTCGCTCGCTGATCTTCTCTCTCCTCACCTACAATTCAATAAATTTAAACTATAAGAAAACAAAGGGTTGAGTTGGCTTAATTTACTTGGAAGTGTAGCATATAAGAGTTTACTCTCTCTGCAAGGCTATGACTATTGGTAGCCTTGCCTCGCTTGGCCCGAACATGAATAAATGCTTCTTTGGAATCATCACCGTCTTGAGAGACCTCTTTAGCTTGCTTAACAGCTAACTTGCCAGAAATTTGACCAGGGAACAATTCACTCTTTTGTTTTTTCACATCTCTCTCCGATGGGCTCTTGAACAAGTCAGGTGAATCATCATTCTGCTATTTTGCATCAGCAAACTTCTCATAAGAAAGTTGTAATTTGTGAAAAAAGATGAACAAGAAATTGTTAGAACCTTGGATGCTGGAGATTGTGGTAAAAAGCCAGCAAGTTCTGATATTGTTCTTCTTTTCTTTCCTTTGGGGTTCCTTTCCATTTGTTTGTCTTCCATGGTGAAATCAGCAGGGCAAAGAGATTCATAGATCTGACTCCTTCCTGATAAACCAAAAGCACTCACCATCAAAATCTGAGAGGAGGGTTTATCAGAGCCCTCAAACGCTTCAGACTGCTTCGCCAAACTAAGCACATTTTCATCTGCATCCATGAACTGTTGTGTGCCATTCATGGATGAACATGGAGTCGCCATTTGGAATGAAACTTCCTTGTGGAAAAAAATTGTTCGGTGGTTAGCTATAGCAACAAATCATAAAATTCCAAGCGTTATAAATTCAAAACATAGACGTTCCTAAAAGACAAAAACTTCAAAAACTATACTCGATAAGGCTTTTGACTGAAGAAGAAAAAAAAGTCGGACTGATAATTTCTTGCGAGACTCAATAAGGAACAAGTTAAAAAATGGTAACTTTATGCTAAAGTGTGAAAGTGAAAGAGGCTCTCAGTAGCAGAATCCTAAGAACATAAGGTATAAAGACATCCATCTCTCAAGGAATATTTATCACCATGCACCAGCTGGATAGATTATTAAAACAGCAGAAAATGTTTATAATATAATAATACTGTAAAATGACTCACCTGGCTGAAAAGCTAATATTTCTTAAAGAAAAGGAAGAAAAAATACTATTAGTATGCAGATGCACACAGCAGTCGAGGAGGGAGGTGTAGAAAACAAACAAGGTTGGTTTCTAATATCATATTTTAACCATTAACACAGAGTTAGATTTCTGAAAAAAAAAAAAAAAAAATTCGGCGGGGGAACTTTAATTGTTTCTGAAGGGG